TCCAGTGCTTTTATGCTCAAATTAATGGAAGACACATCAAGTTATTTTTAGGTCCATTCAGCTCAGCGTGGCGATAATGGGATTTATTCCAAACAGATAAACTGTACGCCATCGACAAACAATCCACCCAAACCACAAATATTTATACGCCAGCACAATAACACAATGTCCTTTCTGTGTCTTTCCTTCTTAGCAGGCCTTATGAATCCCTCAGCAGGTTAATTTCTGACTGAACTCTTCCTCCACAACATCCGGTCCTCCTTACAGACGTAAATAAGTTGGATCAAATTCCTCTGTCCAAGCTGCACATATGGCGTACTTTGTTGTTGAGTTCTGAGCGTCTCTGCCCAGAAAAAAAAAAGCCCAAATGGAATGCCACGGTCTGTTAGGGGTGTTGTCGTTGTTTCCAATTTTCTACTTTTACAGTTGGGCAGAGCTCGACCACAGTACGTGACACGGGAGACTGATTCGTCAGAGAGTGTGAGAGCCTGTGGCCGGCAGGACTGGCATCACAGCTCTGCTTCCCTGCCTTTGATTTGCTGGGTGAAATTCGCTCCATTAAACCTGGTTGTAAAAAGCTGATGTGTTCAGACTTGAAACACAGGCAGGCAGAGCTATAATCTATGTGGAAGGTAAAGCGGGATAGCAGTGACAGACTGCTAATTCTGGCCCTGCTGCAGCCGAGGACGCAGCGTGTGTGGGTGGGTGGATGTGCTAATGCATGCATGGAGGTACTTGAGGAGGACAACAGCCTGATTAAAATCATATCTCAGTCATTACTGCAATTATAAGACAAAGACGACACTTGCATGGAGACTAAATCCAAAGTGATGAGAAAAGTTGATGTGGAGCCGAGATAAGGAGGAAAGAACCAAACTAAACGGCTTTTCAGAAAGAGAAAAGCACATTCCAGTGTGCTGCACACTCACTTTTTCATAGTACTTGATTTGATACTCGGTGATGACGCCGTTGGGTTGCTGCGGCTCCTGCCAGGAGAGCTGGACGCTGCGCTGCTGCACCTTCTCCTTGATGACCTCGCTGACCTGCGACGGAGCTGTTTAGAGAGGAACATGTCAATAAGTGGAGAGCAAACCCCCTCAGCACACTCACAAACACACACATCGGCCTTTTATCAACACTCAGCGGCCTGCAGAGAGCTCATGAATATTCAGGGCCGATACCTCCAAAATGTTTACACCCCTGTGGTCCACATTTCAATTACAGAGCAAACCTTAGTCCAGCCGGCGGGAAAGTGAGACATTTAAATCACGAATGACAAATCACAGTGGAAAAAATCCAAATCTAGAGAAGTCATTTTTACTTAAAATAAGAGCATTTGTTCTTGGATTGAGGAGGTAAACGAGACATTTTGCCAATAAAAAGAGACAATTGACTTTTATAATAAGAAAACAAAATTGCATTGACTTATTTCAAGTGCATATTATCTAATTATCTTATTTTAAAAGTAAAAATAATAGGTCATTCCTGGAACTTTGTGACCCTATCTTATTACCAACAACTCTTTGCAGCGTCTTCCTTTACTCTGACATTTCGATTAGCAAAAAATGTCTAAAATTAAGTGTATTTACCATTAATTTGAGTAGGTTAATAACATAATTTGCTAATAGAATTAGTATTTTTACTCATACTCCGACACACACCCGTAATAAAATAATATAATTAGATAATATTCACTTGAAATAAGACAGGGCAATTGTTTTTTCTTATCTTAAATGTAAATTGTCTTGTTCCATTGGCAAAGTGTCTCTTTTACCTCCTCAATCCAAGAAAAAATGCACTTCTTGCAAGACAAAATAACTTATTTAGATATAATTTTTTTGCAGTGTTGTTGTACACTGGAAAAACGACCTAGAAATTAGTAAAAATTTCTTAAATTAAGTGTATTTACCCTTAATTTGAGTAGGTAAATGAGATAGTTTACCAATCAAATGAGTATTTTTACTCTTAAAATAGGATAATTAGATAATATACACTTGAAAGAAGACAATGCAATAGTGTTTCCTTAATTTAAATGTAAATTATCTTGTTCCATTGGCAAAATATTTCTCTTACCTCCTCAATCCAAGAACAAATGCAGCTATTTTAAGAAAAAAATTACTTATCTAGATTTTGTTTTTTTCCAGTGTAGTTTTTGTTTGAAGAACATAAATAAACTTAAAAGCAGACGGAGCTAAAACCTACATTCTGCCACAGCATCCAAATCTTCTCTATCTACCTCAGAAGTTTCTACAGTTTCAGCCTGCAGCACATTTCCTAATGTTGATTCCTCTATGATCTGCCCTATGAGACCATCTAACATGGCTTCTACACTACTTCTGATGCATCTTCCTCACTAAAACATTTGGGTTATTCTTATGTTTTCCAATAAGATAAAACTCTTTTTGTGGGAAATAGTGCAATGTTTTTCCTGTAGTCGGCACAGATTGTCTTAGTAACAAAAAGGCAGTTCAGCCTCGAGAGATTCTCTTCTTTAAGCTGCAAAAGTCACCTATTCTAGCACTGAGCCGTTCATAAATCACATATATCCTCCCCTGCCTTTACAGTGCATCATTAGCATCGTTAGCCTGCTAATAATTATCATCAATTTACAACACTTTCATTAAGTATCCGGAGGGGGGGGAACCTTTTAGATTATTAAACATTAACCTGATGAGCAACAAAACTCTACTTATTATGATTTTTAATTCCAATTTGCTAAGAAATTACATTTAATATAAAATAATGTGTCATTGAGGCATAAGGCTACTGTAGGTATTAGATGTTTATTTATTTATTTATTTGCTGGGTTTTTTAACAGTCAACTAACTGTCAAAGGAGGAAAATAGACCAGGAACAGGTATCTAACAGTACATTGAGCTGAAATGTTATGTTACCCTAATTTGAATGAGGATATTTTAGAAAAATTCCAAGGAAACCTTAGAAGTCTCTGTTTTTTAAATGTAAAGTAATACAACCTGACAAATAATGCAGCTTATTAAATATATCTGCATTCAGTGTGTCGGCATCACTGAATATAACTGTCTGAAAACTGAGACTAAGTTTTAAATCGGGGTAGAACATACATCAGTGCATCAGCCAGCTTCTATCTTTGCTACAATTTAGTCGTTTTAGCAGCAAAAATTGGGGATGTGTCATAATTATTAGGGTTAAAAAAAATCTATATCAGAAGATCTTTAGTTTCAATTCAGTTTATTTCTATAGCGCCAATTCACAACACATGTCATCTCAAGGCACTTTCCAGTTCAACCAGACCATCCAGTCAGATTGATTCAAAGTTTATTGAAAAC